GCTACAATGTGTTTTGATTTTTTATCTATAAAAGCATTATGAAACAATTTTGAATGAAATTTTTCTATTTTTGCATTAACATATGATGATAATTGACTTATTAATTGGGGAAAAAACAGTTAAGAAAATATACTTAGAAATCTTAATTTTATAGTTATTGTATTGGAATTCTTTTTATCATCATATTTTGAATTCATAGTTTTGAATTTCTAAGCAGTATTTTTAAAACTTTCTTAAGACAAGAATTACAGAAATATCCATTCTATTAAGTAATTAACTAATTCCAAGAAAGTATTATATAAAGTGAAATTACATAAAGTGAGTTGAGTTTTACATGGATAAATGGGAATGCATTTCAATATGAAAACAAAGTTTATCTAGAAATGTACATACATATTTATTTATTTTAAATAATGTACCTGTAACTAGTAATTTAATTAACTTAGTAGTTAAAATTAAAAAATATTTTGGGAACATTTTTTCCTGATTTTTTTGAAATTTTTGGGCTAATGGATTGATGATTTTTGACTTTCTTAAGAAATGGTCATAAAATTGATATTTTCTATAACTAAAAATTTTTAAGACAAAATAGTAATGATATTTTGGAGTATGCATCTGCGACAGATTGAATACTTATAATACCAGCTATACATATGATGGTTGAATTATACATGCACTTATACATATTAGGTTAATTAAGTATCTGTGTGATTTGATTTTTTGAAGTTATAGCAAAAATACATACAGTGAAATTGTGTGTAATAAGGATATCTAATGAGGGCATTAGCTACATAAAAAGTAATTAAATAGTATGTAAATTATGTAATTAATTGGTATAAAAGGTAATATAGTTTAACACATTAACCACTATCTGACATGCTGGTGGTCATACTAATTAGGGCCGTACAGAGCCATTTGACTGCCCGATGTCGTTATAACCAATGTACGAGTAGTTTCATTCAAGGTTAAATTATCCTGGCTTTGTAAGACGTTGTTTACATCCTAGTGGTGGACTCTTACGCACATCTATAAAGTTGTCTCCGATTGCTTGCGATCATAGTAGTTAGGGCTCTGAACAGCCCTAACTACTATGATCGCCAGCATGTCATATGGCTTTGAACGGCCCTACCTACTACAACTGCTGGTGCGTCGTATGGCTCTGTATGGCCCTAATTAGTACAACCATTGCTGTGTCAGATAGCGGTTAACTACTAATTGATTATATAGTTACTTTGTTATAAGGAGTAGAAACTACTACATTTAAATTCATTTAAGTAGAAATAGAAAAACAAAACATTAGACTGGTTTAGAATAACAGTTTTATTTTCATTTCATCTGGATTATTATTTAATACTTTTATATATTTTTAAATGATATCTGTGGTCATATGCACGTAGTAAGTTTTAATTAACAAAGAGATGTATATATTAGAATAACAAAACGTTCTTTTATTTTACTCGTATTTTAACACTTTACAGGATCTTCCGGATTCCAACACTCCTAGTTCCTTTTCGTTCAAAAAAAACTTTTTTGAATCCACAGGCAGAACAAAAAAAAAAAAAAAGATCACGGTACAAAGAAATACTTATCAATAACTTAAATACTAATTATTCTAATAAAGGAAAGAGAGTAAAGAATAGATGATAGGATAGGTAGAAGTATAGTGTCAAGCAAAAATGGTTACCCAATAGTTGATGATCGAGGTGGCGGTGGGTGAAAGTCGATCAGTATTCCACTATAAAATTCATCCTAACAAGAAAAGTAGTTGTTTCACTATAACACTTTTCATATGGATAGTATTGTATTCTAAAAATTATTCTTCACATGCTAGTAGTTGTGTAACATACTCAAACTAATATCATTATTTTCTAAATTCTCAATTTTACATGAAAATTTCCTGCAATTCATTTTAATTTAAGAATTAAAGTAATAAGTAATAACTTTATGCAAGTATATAAAACAAACTCAAAATATACTTATATGACAAGGCATGTATTTCCTTATATGTGCATGGCAAGATGTAGTAAAATCTGATTGGTTGTTTTTGTTTGTATTTGACTTTTATTAATTAGTAATATAAAAGTTTCAAACATTATAGTTGTTCAAAAATGAGTAAAAATCTTGAACCAAACTTACTAATGTTGACAAAAGTTGAATTTATCTTCATAAAAATTGAGACATGTGAATTAAAAGGAAAACTAGTTAGAGTAATTGAAACTAAACTTGTAGTTAACTAGTAGTTTGATTACTAAATTAGGACAGTAATTATAACTAGTAATTAATTGTATTAAGAATAGTTAACTATTACCCATTTCTATGGATATCTATACACAGTAAGACCTCGTTTAACACTTCCTCGATTAACACTAATTCAATATAATGTGGTCGTCTTGAAGCCTAAAAAAAGCTCAAAATTTACACCGATTCAAATTATTACATTTCATTGATTTGTATATAATATGATTATTCCCAAACACGAACCAATCAGCAAAATGTGGCAATTTGTCGCGGCACTGTACTTCTAAATCTATGTTTGTTTGATGCATTTGTTTTTGTATGTCATTAGCAGTGAAACAGTGCCCATGCTATCAAAACGATTTGGAGTGCTGCATAAAATATTAAGTTATGTGCTGTACTCATTGACATTATTGTATAAGAAAATCAATAAAAATTCTGTTTGTTCATTAAAAATTAATCCTTATACAAATTTTAATATATGTTCAATTTAATTCAATTTCATTAATGTATTTGTAATTTATTGTAATTTTTTAGATTATTCAAAGTGAGTGAGTGTAAGGATAATACAGTTAAAACAAAACTGACACAAAAAAGCATTTTGCTTGACATTAAAATGCAGGTGCTGAGGAATTAGAAAATGATGAACATTGGAACCTCTTTAAATTTATCTACTTCTACTATACAAACCATTTTAAAAAACAAGGACAAAATTAAGTTGTCGGCAACCGCAACCACGTTTTCTGCAACAAAGATAATCCATTCCAGAAGCAATGTTTAGAGGAAATGGAAAAACGTTTTTGCATTTAAAAATGAGGCAACCTCCACATTTGAATCACTGGAGAAGTAGCGAGTGCAGATACTGCAGCTGCTTCAGCTTTTCCAGCAACTTTAAAAGCCATAATTGAACGAGGGAATTATCCTCTGAAACTAGTTTTTAATTTTGACGAGACAGGACTTTTCTGGAAGTGAATGTGAAAGCACACATTTACATTGTGCAAACAAAAGTGAGCATCTAGATTCAAAGCTGCAAAAGACTGTTTCATCCTTTTTCTGGGTGGTAACATCAATGGTGATTTTAAATTAAAATCACTGCTTGTGTATCATTCCAAAATGCTGAGAGCCATGAAAGGAATTTTAAAATTTAGTTTATTGTGATTTGGGAATTTAATAAGAAATCTTGGATCACTAGAGACATTTTTCAAAATTGGTTTACCACATATTTTTGTCCATCTGTAAAACGTTTCTGTGAATTTTAAAAAATTGAACCAAAGGCTTTATTACTGATGGTTAATGCTCTAAGCCATCGCACCAACTTGTCTGACGTAAACACTTGCATTCCGGTTGAAGTGGTTTTTCTACCACCCAACACTACGTCATTAATTCAATCGATGCATCAGGAAGTCATATCAAGTTTTAAGGCATATTATCTTCGTCACACATTTTATCAACTTATTGATAAAACAGCAAAAATAAAGAATCAATTATGCAATTTTGAAAAAAATATAACATCATGGATGCAATAGGCAATATTGACTTTGCCTGGCAAGAATTAACTGATAAATGCATGAATGGAGTGTGGAAGAAGGTATGGCTGGAGGATTCTCAACGAGAAGAGTCTATTGTTGACCAAATTGTCGACCAAATTGTCAACCTAATCGATACAGCAAGACTAGGAGATGTAGATGAGCAGGATATTGAGGAGTTACTGCAGGTTTCTGGTGAGAGCCTTACCAATGACGATCTTCAAGAACTCGAAGAACAAGGAATTCATGTAGAACTGAAAAATAGTTATTCTGAAAATGAAGAATTGAAAGAACTTGTTACAGATTTCCTTAGTAAAGTTTTGTAACAATAACTGAAATTGTTGATCAAATTTTAGCAAATGATCCAGATGTTGAAAGAAGTGCAAGACAAGGCATTTTGGATGCAATTTTCTCTCATTAAGCAAACGTCAGCGTTTTCTTAATGAGAGAAAAAGAAAGTGACAAAGGACACTAGAAGACTTCATCACACAAAAAAACAAGAATTTCAGAAGAGCCAGGACCTTCATCACAAAAATGAACTTTATATTTCTGTGAGCATATGTTTTTGTGTTATGTAACACATATTATTATGCAAATTAATATAAAAATAACTTAAAATTAAAGTAAACTTTATTTATTTTTGGTTGAGTTCCCCTTTCCTCATTTACTATGTGTTAAAATGACCTCGCTGTTTCATTTAGTGCTTTGTTGTTTAGGAATGCATCATAAGTGTTAAATGAGATCTTACTGTGAGAAAATGTTTTTTAAAATTATTTTGAAGTATTTTGTATATTTAACAGATAAAGTACAAAAATAACAGATATTTCTAATGCATGTATAATTTTTATCTGATTTCCATTTATCTGTAAAGAGAAAGTAAAACATCTGTATTAATAAATAATGCAGAAATAAAATATATTGTTAAAGAATATTTATATAAGTATATTTGGCCAAATAAAAGAATTTACACAAGGATAAAATATCAGTAAACAAACATAAAATATCCAAAAATATAATAAAATAATGTTCAGTAGAGATTTGATATTTCTATATCCGTTGGTTTATTAGATAAACTTATTTCTTTTAGTAGTATTAGGATTAGAGACTATTTAACTAAGTCTATGTTGAATAGTCTGAAGAATGTAATTATAATTTTACTATTTTATTGATTTTTAATTAGCTAGATATATTTAATAATTTAAAAAATATATTAAATTGTTTTTATACTTTTTCTGATAGTGATACCTATGGCATACATGCTGAAAATGTGACTGCTGAAATTTATGGTATTCGTGCTGAAGGGAATAAAGTTTCACTTTCTTCCGAAGGAATAGTGATAATTCAAGAAAATACAGACACTTTAATTAGATTATTTGGAAGAAACTTTACTACATATACTTCAGTAGCATTGACTACTACTGCAGCTGTTCGTGGAAACAGATGCAATGAAATGCCTATAGAAGAAATCCGACATATTGAAAAAACAAATTTTATGAATGAAAACGTTGTAAAGTTAAAAGTGAAATTAAGAATATCGCCTGGTAAATATTACTATTTTTGTGTTAAGGAAGGGCAGAATTCTAAAGACTCTATAAACTGGATACATCAAGGAAAAGATCCTTGGTTGTTAATTGAAGTTCAGGGAAGAATCCTTCCATTATGGGTACAGATTGTTTTAATTATTCTATTGTTGTTGTTATCTGGATTATTCAGTGGACTTAATTTGGGTCTTATGGCTCTTGATAAAAATGAATTGCGTGTTATAGAAAACTGTGGTACAGAAACAGAAAAAAAATATGCCAGAACTATATCACCATTAAGAAAAAGAGGGAATTATTTATTATGTTCTCTTTTATTAGGAAATGTGCTTGTAAATAGCACTTTAACAATATTACTTGATGATTTAACTTCAGGGATTATAGCTGTAATTGGCTCTACAATTAGTATTGTTTTATTTGGAGAAATAATTCCACAAGCAATTTGTTCAAGACATGGCCTTGCTATTGGTGCTCAAACAGTACTTATTACAAAATTTTTTATGATAGCAACATTTCCTTTATCATTTCCAATAAGTAAAATATTAGATTTTGTTTTAGGAGAAGAAATAGGAAACGTATATGATAGAGAAAGATTGATGGAATTTATAAAAGTAACAAAAGACTATAATCAATTAGAAAATGAAGAGGTTAATATAATTTCAGGTGCTCTAGGTTTAAAAAATAAAACAGTTGCTGATGTGATGACAAAAGTTGAAGACGTTTTTATGATTTCACACGATGCTATTTTAGATTTTGAAACAATGTCGGAGATAATGAAGCAAGGATATACTCGAATTCCTGTATATGAATCAAATAAAAATAATATAGTTGCTCTTCTTTTTACTAAAGATTTAGCATTTATTGATCCTGATGACAATACTCCATTAAGAACAGTTTGTGAATTTTATAATCATCCCATTACCTATGTGTTTGAAGATGAAACATTAGATACTATGCTTGATGAATTTAAAAAAGGTAAGATGCTTATTAAGTATAAATTTGTTTTTATATAGTATAAGATTTTTTCAATTTGAGAATGATTTTACAATGCATTGTAATAATATAAGGTTATATAATAATTATTATTGATTAAAAAATTATTTGTATACAAATTGATTCAAATGAATATTTTGCTGTAAATGTAGTAACATGAAAAGTAATTGACAAGATAATTTATCATAATTTATACAGCACTATATATTAATTTTAATATTTAAATATTTATAAATTTCTGTTTTATCAAAAAAAATTAACAAAATTATCGTAAAAAAAAATACATTTAAAACAATTATAAACAACAACCAAACCCCAATTTTCTAACAGCCAAACATCTACATGCCTGATTATTCGAGATGCTTTAACTTAATTAATTATAATATAGAATAATCCAATTTATAGATTTTTGTCTATGAAGTCAATTATATTTTTTAAATAACTTTTCTAAAAATATCTGGAATAATCTATAAAACATTTGTTATAAAAAAAAATATTGTATTTCCAAATTTTCAATATTTTTCTGTAGGAAAACTGCAAATTCACAAAAAATTTATCAAATCTGCAGTTTTTTGTTATATCAAAAATAAAGATTTTTATTTTTGATATAACAAAAATAAAAATCTTTATTTTTTATTTTTGTAAAATTTTATGTAAATTTTAAATTTTATTTTTATTTTTTATTTTTGTAAATTTTTATGTAAATCTATACTAATATTATAAAGAGGTAATGTTTGTACGTAAGCTTGTATGCAGCAGGTAATCTCCAAAACTACTCATCCGATTTCAAAAATTCTTTCACCAATATTCAGAATGGAACTTCAGGGTGGACATAAGCTGTATATTATTCCGTTAAACATTCATATAAATTAAAAGATATAATTTAGGTTAAGGCTTTTATGTCTATCAGATGGCGCTACGAGTACGACGCCCTAAGTTTGCTTTTCTGTGAGGCATTATGCTTTTCTGTGAAAATGAACTAAAGCAGATCATCTTCTATCTATCTATATAAATAAAAATGTAATCTTCGTTTGTTCCTATCGATTCCTTTGAAATTTTGACACAACACTGCATTCGAATACGCACGTGTTTTTATATAATATACATGTCGAATGAGGGATCATTAATTGCAAAATGCAAAAAGCCCATATATTTTATTGATAAGCATTCCCCCCACTGAAGGGAGATGGTTAGGATTAAGGCTTACGGTAAAGAACTCTGCTTCTATTTATACTATTTTAGATGCGGGTTTTTGCGTTTTTGATTGCGTTTTAATAGGGTACGTCAAGAGAATGTACACTAAGAAGAAATTTTTCGAAAAATTTCTTCTTAGTGTACATTCGGGGAAAGTGTACATACGGGGAAAGTGTTATAAATTTATAACACTTTCCACGGGGAAGTGTTATAAATTTATAATAGATACATTTTGAGCCATAACAACGCATGGCGGGGTCTGCTAGTGTAGTGAATATTATTGAAAAGCATTCCATTTTTAGCATAATTTTGTTTTAAAAATTTTGTGATGTTTGCACCAATATCTCTGTTGAACGTTTAGTGCATTGATTGTAGTTGTTTTTGTAAAGTGTTTCACTCTGCTGCCATAGGACAGTCATAGTTTATTTCAGAAAATTTTGTTAGTGCGCAGGTAAGCGGGTGGACGGATTGTGTTTCATTGGTGCGCAAGCACATTTGTTACCCGATGCAGACAAGCTCATACCGAAGTACAAGTTTCCATGGAAGAATTATTACCCCTCCCTCCCGTCCAGACTTCTCCCACCCGGCATTTTTAAACCTTTAGACTAAAATTTTGATGTGCTTAACCCATCTTTAGTTCCCACCCATCGTGCCAGGTGGAAGTTACTTTTACTAAGAAATAACTATCATATGATATAAATATAAATAAAATAAATAAATATATATATAAATATATATATATAAAAATACATATATATATATATAATTTGTTAACATTGCTATTGAACAGAAGGTTGTGGAGAAGATGGAACAGCAAAGTGGCTTTTGTAGTTATGTTTCCCCATTTGTACTTAGCTTCATACATTGCAAAGTCCAACAAAATTTAAATAATTTTAGTGTTCCTTCTGGGGAAGGCATCATTCCTTGTAAAGGATACATCTCTGGGCTTATTAGTATTTTTAAAAAAACTGTCATTGATCGATTCCCATCTTTTACACAACAGAAGATTGTGCCGTTAAGATTGCTTTGTCTGGAATGAAATGAACCATTCTTCTGTTAAATCTTTGACAATAAACTAATGTTGATATATGAGTGTGACTCTTTTCTTTGTATATAATGGGATGCTTGTATCCCTCACTTATCTTTAAACTGTAATATATTTTAATAGTAATGAAAATATGATGATATCTATTAATATTATTTGAGCAGAGACTCTAAACATAAATTTTTTAAAATTTGTTAAAATCATTATTGCTAGTAATTGGTAGATTTACCAAATTGAAACTAAACATCAGATTAGTATAATAATCATAAAGTTCTTTAAAAATGCCTTTCATAAATTAGACTTTTGGTATTTATTTTTATTCTTTAATATATTTTTAACAATTAATTTATGTTAGTTTAAAACAGGAACAGATACTTACAGCATTAAAGATTTTACATGGAAGAATAGAAATTATTCTAATATAAAAATATATGTTAAATTTGATACCATGTTGTAATCAAACTGCTAAAATCAGAAAATCAAATTCAATCTTTAAGTAATGTCTTTGACCATTCTACAGCCATTTTCTTCATACATACTGGGTTGTGCCAGACTCTCAGTTTTCTAGAATTTTCCCAATTTGGAACACTTTGTCCCTACTGGAAAATTTTTCCCGTGATTTGTTCATTTCTATAAAAAATTATACCAATTTGTATTTTGAAAAAGATCAAATAAGAATGGTAGGCAATAGGTGTCATGCATGTTGCTGCTACATATCTAATGTCGGTTATCTGTAGATTTTTATCAGTGTCCCTATTTCTGGTTTTGACTTGCAGCAATCCTACTCACACAACAAATATAAATCGATGATATACATTCCAAAATATATTCGTTAAGTTTAGAATACAGTCATTATAGTTAATGAATCGATTTTAAATTTATGCTATACTTTGTCATTTGTATTTGTTACAAGATGAGGATAAAAACATCACTTAATAATTTTGATTTTCTGAATTTAGTTTAATTTACAATATAAANCTTAAAATGTGTATATGTTAATTTATTTTATTTCCTTAATAATATTTGGTAATATGGTAATATCTAAAAATTTATATGTAAACTGCATATTATGAAATAAGTACAAATTTATAATAAAATTATATTAGTTCTATACATAAAATTTATCACAGATTTCTTTTAAATTTAAGTATTAATTTTGAAATTAAAGCAAAAATTTAAGTTTAGTGTTCAGATTGATTTATAAGATTTTTGATTGCAATTAATGATTGTACATTGAGTTTTGTATGAGGAATCATTAATTGCAAAATGCAAAAAGTCTATATATTTTATTGATAAGCATTTTATTTTTAACATTATATTGATTGAAAGTTTTTAAGATTAAACCAGTCATGTTTAAATTTATGATTCATAGTATTTTCATTGTTAAATGAGTTATTAAAGAAAACTCTACAGATATACAGTATATTCATGTGTATATATTTTACAAAAAATATTTTGGATAAACTTGTTTTGATATTTAAAATTGTAAAACTCTTCTAATTATTTTTCATTTAGGAATGGAACAATATTAAACATTATATATAAGTGTCTATGAGTTGAATTAAGAAAACTTTTAATTTTTTAATTTATGATGAAAATGCACAAATGAAACATCAACACAGTGAATAAGAAAATGGAAAGTTTATTAATAAATCAATATATTATAAATAAGTTATTCCGATTTTTGTTAAATAATAATAATAATAATCTTTAAAAAATGAATTTTGTGTGTTTTTCAGTGAAATTATATGACATTTAAAAAAACATTTATTTTAAAAAATGTTGTCATACTATATTAGGATAACATGTTAAAAACTTATAAAATAAGAGGAATTCTATCTATATAAAAAAGGAAATTGTTAGCAGCAGTCAGATTTGGTACAAAATTGATCCCAAATAAAATATTAATAATATATATAATTAGTTTTAACTAATATAAAAAATAAAAAAAATGTAAAATATTTGAACAAAAATACAGTTGAACCTGTCTATCTCAAACATATTTATCTCAAAAACTTCTTTATCTCAAAATTTTTTTCACCTTCATTTTCAGCCTAAATTCAATATATTTTTCATGTTTATCTCAAATTATTTTCTCCTAAAACCTTTGTATCTCAAATTATGGACTGAAGTGTCAATTACAAATTTGAAGCTCAGCGACTACATTTTGATAGCTTAATTCTAGTTCAGAAACATCTCTTGCAATACAGTACATAGTTGCAATTAACACAGCTTTTCTCTGATTGACTATGAGTTTAAATAAATAGTATTATTTATTTAAAAGAAAAAGAGAATAAGAGTACAATAAGAAAAAGAAGGTTGAAAATTTCATAATATACTTCCAGTTCTAACTAATAAATATAGTTAGAAATGTATAAAGGAAAAATAGTAATTTCCAGTAAAATAAATTTATTTGTAACAAATTATGCAGCAAATTGTATTAAATATAATTCATAAAATATAATAATCCACAAAACCTTTTTATAACAATCTTCACGAACGTTTTCGATCTCCACCAAGGTCTGCTTCAGGTGGTGACTAAACGGTGTCTCTTCTTGACCAGGCGTCATTGTTCCAACGGTCAAGAGGAGACACCGTTTAGTCACCACCTGAAGCAGACCTTGGTGGAGATCGAAAATGTTCGTGAAGATTGTTATAGGACACAACACTGTTATAAAAAGGTTTTGTGGATTATTGTTACTCAACACAGTGTTTGGATTAGTAGTCATTTTGCATAAAATATAATTTTATAATATAAGTAGACTGTCTTTTTTTAACCTCCGATGGTCCATAAAAAAAAAGACAAGTGTAAATAACAAAATGAATTTATTACCAAAAATTAGATACAAACTTTTCGACATAATCACCATGAAGATTGAGGCATTTGTCATATCTGTGAATGAGCTTTTCCATCCCCTTGTCATAGAATGTTGCCGCTAGTGAATTGAGATGGTCTTAACAATGTTGTTTTGAAGATCATCATTAGTCTCGAACCTCTGCCCTCCTAGTCACTTTTCTGTTCAGGAAAGAGGCAGAAGTCGCTCAGCACTAAATTGGGGCTATATGCTGGGTGTTTAAAGGTGGTGAAGACTTCCACCTAGCTTGAAACTTTTTAATATGTGAAGACTTCCACCTCTTTCCTGAACTGAAAACGTGGCTAGCAGGGCAGAGGTTTGAGACTAATGATGATCTCCAAAACAACATTGTTAAAGCCATCTCAATTCACTGGCAGCAACATTCTATGACAAGGGGATGGAAAAGCTTGTCCACTGATATGACAAATGCCTCAATCTTCACAGTGATTATGTTGAAAAGTAACCATGTTTGTACCTAATTTTTGGTAATAAATTCATTTTGTTATTTACACTTGTCTTTGTTTTATGGACTATCAGAGCTTGAAAAAAAACGCCCTTGTATAAAGACTATATCCAATATAATAAATTACTCTAATTCTTGAAAACAAAACCAGTGCCTAATTATACTCTTAATTTCACAAAAATATACCTAGTGTTCTCAATTACACAGTATATTTGTATGCAGTTGGATCATAAGCGTTCCTCTTGTTATATAACTCATGAGTCATGGGCTGGGCTTCCTCTAGATCAGTGGTCTCCAAAGTGAGTTTGTGTGCCCAGGTGGTACACAAAGTGATACTTGGGGTATGTGAAGTTTTCCTTCAACATATTGTATGTGTGTCCTGTCCTCAATTTGTCTAATCTTATAGTCATCCTCCTGAAGAAGTAGGTTTACGATCACTTGCGATCATACACAGAAAAAAATTCAAATTGCAGGTAGCAAAAAATTTAGCAGGAATTTATAGTGGAAATTTAGCAAATTTTATTATATTTTAAGGGGTACAACTTATAATTATTTTCATTTTAGGGGTACATCATCAAAAAAGTTTGGAGATAACTGCTTTAGGTAGATGTCTTTATCAACCAATCTTTAAGTCACAGAGTTCATCTAACTGGAAAAAACTATATAAAACTAAGTGAAATTTTTATTTCCATTTATTCCATCCCTGTATAGTTGAAAGTTTTTATTTAAATGCTTTTATGGGACAGTATGTATTTAAATATAATTTTGTTCAACTTTTTAAAATTTGTTGTGTATCCAAAAATATTTCACAATAAAACTTGATAATTATTAGTAGAATAAATGTTCTGACATGTTTGGGAGCACTAACGAAACCAGACAAACTATTTAATCACGTAAACTATTTAATCATGTAAACTGCAAGTATACTACAGCATCATGGGTCATAATAAGGATGGAAAATTATTTAAAACTATCATTATTCAAACAAAACATGTCTTAGAGTAGAATTGCAACACTAATAAATGTAATAGTTCAAAACATTATTAGAAAATTTAAATTATTTGGATGTGTCAAAAATCAACATTATTCTGGGAAACCTAGAAAATCATAAAAATTAGAAGACAAAAACCCTCCAGAAAATTTATAAAAGATTGGGAGATATTTGGAGTTTGAATGTCTAAAAGAACAGTTATTAGATGTGTGGATTTTATTGGTTACCATTCCAGAAAAATAAAAACTAAACCAATGATTACATCCAAACAGATGAAACCGTGACTAAATTGGACCAAAAAATATAAACACTGGAAACCTGATGATTGGAAGAAGGTAGTTTTCTCAGATGAAAGTCAGATTTGTTTGGGATGTTGTGATAATATTGGCACAAAAATGTGGAGGCATTCAGAAGAAAAGTTTAACAAAGCATGCCTAAAGTTAAATGTGAAATTTCCACTTAGCGTAATGATTTGGGGCTGCATGTCAGCAAGTGGAATAGGCTAAGTTTGCATTTTAGATGGTACTGTAAACAGTGATGTTTATTAAGATATTTTAAATTACTTTTAGATTCCATCTATTGAGAAAATAATTGGAGACAGTGAATGACAAGATAATTTCAATATAAATGTTTCTTGTCACCTAAGCAAATCAATTAAAGAATGGTTGTGTTAGAACAATGATGAGGCAGTCCTTTAACTTAGAATTAAACTTTATTCTAATTTAAGACTATACATGCACTTTTTCACACATCCATAACTTGGCGGCAACTGAAAACAGGTCTTTTCTTGTTTCAAGCAGTTTTTACATGGGTGTTGCCAGTTCATAGACAATTTGCTATATCAACACTTGCTTTAGTTTAGTATTCCCTAACAGGTTACAAAACAATATCAGAACTATATAATATCAAGACTGGCCATCAAACAGTCCTGATATGAATCCAATTGAAAATTTTTGGTGTTTATTGAAGAAAAAAATATTTAAAACAAAATCATGCAACAAGGAGGAATTGAAATTGGCTATAAATAGATGATGGGAATGAAATTACACTAAATGAGGGTCAATATCTGGTAGATTAAATGCCAAATCAAATTGCAGCTTTAATAAAAGCTATAGGTGGTTCACAAGATTTTAAACAAGTGTGGTCTAATATTTTTGTTGAGGAATTTTGCTGGTCTAAAAGTTTTCTCTCTCACATACAAATTATTTAAGTTTTTTCTAATGTTAAAATGCATTAAAATTCTATTGTGTGAATTTTTTTCCTGTTAAATAAATATTGAATTCTGAGAAAAAATATAGGAAATTTTTAAAACATAACTGAAAATAGTTATATGCAATCAAAACTACAAAATCAATATTTTTGAAGGGTGGTCTAATACTTTTGGCAGGGGATTGTAGTATAGTTTATACAATAGTATTATTAAATAATAATATTGTGATATAGTGTGATTGCAAACATTTTCATAAAACATACAGTTATCTTATACATAATGCATCATGGTCATTGTAGATGTGTTGTCAGATAACTTTTGCTGAAAATTTTGTATTAAAATTTTATTACATGTACTATAAAAATTACAGGTAAAAAATAAACCACATATGGGACATGCTTACATGCTTGACTGTATAGTTAATGTCTTATCATCAATCTTCATTCTATCTGGCTTTTTCCTTATCTGATTGGGCCGGATAATGCAGTCTACTGTACTGAATTAATACATGTGTTTTTTTTTTTTTAAAGGTTCTTTTTAAGAGCAGATTTATTGTCTGAATTTGATAAAGCTTATAATTAACAGATATATTGAGTTGATTTATCTGTTAATAATAAAAAAATTCATAAAATTTTATTATTTATATGATTTGCTATTTAATAATTTACACAACAGTTTTGATCATTATAATCTAAATAAAAACAAATTTTATTTTAGGTAATTGTCATATGGCCCTTGTACGTCGTGTTAATAATGAAAGTGATCTTGATCCATTTTATGAAATGAGTGGAGTAGTGACATTAGAAGATGTGCTAGAAGAATTACTACAATCAGAAATTGTAGACGAAACAGACATTTTGAGTAAGATATCATTTTTATATTTAAGCATAAACTTAGATATATAATTTATTTAATAAATTTATTTCTTGTTTGTGTAAATATTATTAAACATTTTTATGCAATGTTATTAATAGGTTACACTATTTCCTGTATGATACATAAAACATTTAATTTCTAAATTTATATAATTTAATTTTAGAAATATAGAATTAAATTCTTAAAAGTATGATTTGGAATAGTATAGAAACAATTTGATATTAGAAATGACTTATCGTAGGTTAAAAATATATAATTTTTGACAAATGTTCTATAAGAAGGGGTAAAAGTATCAAAATTTTTGGAAAGGATATCAATAAATGTTACACGAATCTTTTAATTTTATGCATAAAAGTAAAGAATTGTTAAATAACAAAAAAAATTATGAAAATAGTATACTATCTCAGAGATGGTATAAATATTAGTATTAAAAGCTAGTTATTTTTAAAAAATATTAATAATAATTACTATAAAATATGAATAATCAGCTGATAGAAGATACAGTGGGCAACTTTTGGACCTCAAATTTAATTTTTACCTCTTAGAGCAGGGGTGTCCAACCTGCGGCTCAAGGCAAGTTCCAATGTGGCCCAATAAACATGTAAACAAAACCGAGAAATGTTTTAATTTTTTTTATTATTTATTTATTTCAAGGTCATAAACTCAAAAAAGAAGTTTCACAAAGCCATAAACCTTTATTCATATTTTATTTTTGAGTGGAAAGGAAATATTTCCAAATACTTGGAGATGTGTGAATGAGGAAGAATTACTAAATAAAGCTGCAGTTGTGACTCAAAGGATTAGAGACCCAAATTTGGGGAAAGGAGAGAAAGGCCAAAAGATAAAAAGTAGTGAGAAAGGTTAAATAGATCTTCTGTTATGCAAATATTGATGTTACTGTGAATAACCGATATCTGGCGAATGTCAACATTCTCCAGTGAATGTCAGCATTCACACAGTCGTTTTGTGTATGTATGAAATATTTGCTAAATATCATTATTTCTCACTTACACCAGCAAATGTCGACATTCAGCATGCACTGATGGTGAATGTCTTAACGTAATAAAAATATTTTTATTACATTAAGACAAAAATGCAACATTTTAATATGTCAAAATAGGAGAAAGCTTAAGTAACATCACATTTAAATAAACTGTTGAACCTAAAACGAACAGAACATTCTTAATCATTAAAGAAAATAATACAATAATAAACTTACACATAAATTATGTGATTATCATTATACAATCTTATTTATTGCAACAATTTAAACTGTTATGGCACTTTGAATTGCACAAGAGTCCCTTGCTTTTACAACTGCATTTATTTGTGGAACACTTTTTTTTGCAATGACAGCGTGTATAGCCTTGCCCTCCACTTTTCGAATTAGCTGCAGCTGTTTCTCTCAGCGATATTTCCTGAGAAGAAATCTCATCTATAGAAAGTAACTTTTCTTTACAAATTACGAACTGATTACATTATTACATGATTACAAACTGATCTGATAATGGTGTCTTTTATTCGGATATTGCCGACGCCTTACCAATGACCCCTCTCATCCTCTGCCACTCGACCTGACAAACTGATCTCCACCTCACGGGATCAAAAGACCTTGTCCTACCTCCAGCCACCCACAAAGGATTTGGCGACAGACTGTCGCTGTTCTGTCGACATCGGCTTCTCGGGTGTCATTTCGACCTCCACCAAAGCTTATCTGTGCTTGTCAACATACACTGGCGATTGTTCGAATGTATAATAATATAACCAAATATTTGGACTTTCACCGATGTATTTTGTATATTTTGTAGTATTCGGACATTCACCGGAGAATATCGACATTCTTTAATTTCGGTCTTTCACAGTAACATTAATTCTTAATTTTCCAACCTTTCTCACTTCTTTATGTTTTGTCCTTTCTCTTTTTTTCCTCGCATTTGGGTCTATAACCCTTTGAGTCACAACTCCAGCTTTATTTATTATTTCTTCCAGCTTTGCAAGATTTGGCTACATTGTACCAAATGTGACTACTTTTTTAGTTTGATGTAAAAAATATCATTTGGCACTTTGCCTACTTTTTGGGCTACATTTTATTCATAAATATATTAGTTGAATAAAAATGCACTTTAAAATAGTGCTTCATCGCTTTTTATTAATTAGAAACCCAAATAAAACAAATATTTGTGTTTTTCAAATAAATTTTTGATTGTCTCTTTATATTTATAATAAATGAATTTATCTATTTCTAAGTAAAAATTGAAAGTGTCTGTAAAAGTAATTTTCTAAAATATCCTTTTTTGTGATAAAGTTTTAATACTTATTATTATAATCTAGACATGTTAGTCCTTAAANTCTCTAAACATAACATTAATGTCCAAAAAATGTACCATAACAGAGCTTTTTTGCTCTAGTTTTAAGCTAAGGCCATCCTCATTATCATTAATCCTATCTATAAAGTTAGCAATTACTCGATTGCTATTCCAAATTATGAATATATCATCGACATACCTTTTGTAGTATACTATATTGTTTTTGAAATTACGCAAAACTTTAACCTCGTGTCTACTAACAACAAGCTCACATAACAGCCCTGAAATTGGGCTTCCCATAGGGACCCCTCTACATTGCTTATACGTTTGACCTTCGAATGCAAAGAAGGATTCGCAGCAAACAAGGTTAACCATCTCTACCAACTCATTATTATGCTGTGCTAATGTAGGGTTTACTTTAATCAAGAACTCGAACAGCGCTTCTACACAAGATTCAATCTTAACAGAAGGGAACAAATTTTCGTAATCCAAAACAGTCCCAACTTCGTCATCTACTAAGGTAACCTCTTGTAGTTCTTTGACCACCGTCACAGGATCCTTAGCCACCAATTCATTACTTTCCATCTTGGAGGAGATATACTCATGCAACCTTTTTTCAAGGAGAAACGTAGGCGCTTTTCGTTTTTCCACAATAGGCCTTATTTTCTTGCCTTCTTTATGAGTCTTAGCAAAGGCAAATAATCTAGGGGTCCCTAGTCTAGGGTTACGACATTTCACTAAAAAAGGTAATATCTTCGCCAGTTTTGTTCCCCCCAGTTTTCTAACCCTTCTATCAATTGCTTCAACTATGTTACTATTTATCTTAATACAATCAGTTTTTCTGATATATTCTTCCAATGCTTCATCATAGGTAGGTTTTTTCATTACAACGATCTGCTTGCTTTTATCCGCTCTTGTTGCGACTAAGTTATTCTCTTCCAGCCATCCCTTAGCATATGCGATGTCTTTATTATTACTTCTTCCTTTCCATGCTTCTTGATTCTTTAACACCGCTTTCCAACGTATGTAGTCCTTGTCAACCGGATCTAACCCCACAATTCCTCTTTCAATCTCCTGGAGTGTAGTTTCCCAAATCCTAGGATTTTCTGGGACGAAGTTCGGGCCTTTTTTCAGAATCTCCTTTACCCTATTCGGTACCTCAATCTGGTCCCATACTTCGTAAGTTGTAACACTTTTCCTAGTACCTTTTGGTATCTGTTTATAAATGATCCATCTCATCTTCTTAATGTATCGTTTTTTCATGTTGTTATAAACGACATCAGTAAGACTAGTAACTCCTAAGTTCATTTCCAAAAGCTTATCTGGATTCTCCCCATAAACTTTATTTTCTATTTCAATGAGGCGTCGCAGAATTCCAAACTTCTTGTTTTTTGCAAACTTAATAGATTTCTTAAGGCATGCCAGGCAAAATCCCCGTTTTAACGAAAGGCACTCTTTCGGAATTTGTAGCCTATAAATAGACATCGGAAAAACTCTGTTTTTCATACACTCTCTCAAAAACTCCAATTTACAATTAGCCTTGACTAGTCTTAACGCAATTTTTCTATACTTCTTATACAATACAGCCGGTGTCGCCATACCAATATAAACAACCCAAAGCGTGCTCAGCAGAAAATAATAAACTATAACTAAATCAACACCTGTTCACTCGCTGAGAGATTTATTCTTAACACAAACGTTTTCAATCCAATCAATGGATCATCGTCAGGTAAATTTACCTGACGATGATCCATTGATTGGATTGAAAACGTTTGTGTTAAGAATAAATCTCTCAGCGAGTGAACAGGTGTTGATTTAGTTATAGTTTATTATTTTCTGCTGAACACGCTTTGGGTTGTTTAAACTTTTAATTTTGACTCTGAGTTTTAAAGTAGTTTTTTTTTTAGTATTCTAATCTTAACTATAATAAATTAACAGATAATTGTTCTCATTTACACCTACTGCAGATATTTATTTAACAAAACACAATTTTAATATTATCAGGATCTAGTCTGTTTCTGTTTTTATCATAAATTAATATAGAGGTGCTGAAGAAGCTCAGTCTATATTCAGTGGCAGATATAAGAGGACACCATTGACACAAAAAAATTATTTGTTTGTTTGAACTTCAAAACATTGTTTCTAAAAACATTTATGATATCAAATATGGTTTATCAGACCATCTACAATATGATCATCAAGCATATGTTAATAAAAGGTACTTATTAATTATTCAAATATTTAAAATTTTTTAGTTTGTTTTTCTTTGGATATTTCTGGATCTGCCACTGTGACTGTAGATATGTATGGCATGATATTGTGAAAATATTTGTAGTATTCAAAGTTATTTTTCATCAGCATATTAGAGATCTTGAATACTTCGTAGTATTTGAATGTTTGTGGATAGCATTCATTCATCTCTATAATAAATATAATTGAGAAAACATAAAAGACTTTACCAGCTTTACTAGAGGTAAAGCTTTTAATGTTTTAATTGGCTTAATTAAAGTTTTAAGTGTTTTAATAAATACAGTTGAAGACAAATACAAAAATAGATATCTTAAATGTTTTTTGAATACATACAAGATCATATAAAAAATACTCAGCTCAAAATGTTTTTTTTATGTGATCTTGTATGTGTTTAAAAAAGAAACCTAATTTTTTATTTGTGTTTCACTG